GGATACTGACCCCCTAGTCCCAGCAATCCCCTTATCCCCATCTCAAAATACTTTCTGGATTATGAACACTAGCAAAACAGCACAGATTTCAGGATTAAGCACTATATAAACATAGCATGACGAGGTGAAAGGCAGCACATTACACAAAGCATGTGGCACAACCATTTCATTCAGATGCTATTCTTGGCTAAATCACTGAGGCAAACCTCTATTCTCTTACGAAAAAGGTTGTGAGATTTGTGACAGACACAGAGCACTTACAGGACCTCAGTTTGAAAGGTTTCTTGCAAAGAACCCTCATGCAGTCAACAGCATGGAAAATATGTTTTATTTACTTCAGACATTTGAAGAGCTGAGTCTATTTTGCCATGAATCAAACCCATGGATACATGTAACAGTGTAATGCAAACCTGATTCTACACCAGTGGCTTTCAATCTGCGGTCTGCAGATGCCTAGTGGTGCGCAGACTACGTCTGGCTAAGTACAGACATTCATGGGTGTTAGAAGGAAGTCAGGGGCAGTGCCAGCCTCTTCCTGGATAGCGGTCTGAGGTGGGCTAGATGGAAAAATTGGGCGGGGGGAGGCTGCCCAGACAAAGACAGGACATGGGCCCCGCTGCACCTCTGTGGGCTGCAGGTGAGAGTGGGGCAGGTGGCAGCAGCCTGGGGAGAAGGCTGGGGGCTTGGACAGGGGCGGCACTGGGAGGGGTGGCTATGGGTAGGGAGCTAAGGGAAATTTTGGGGTGGCAATAGCCCCCTCAGTGCCATCCCTGGAGGAGGTTAAATCAATTGAAGATGGCTGTCCGATATCAGGTGAGTCAGGATGGGGAGGCTGGCTGGGTGGTTGGGTGTCCAGCAGACTATCGGGGATCTGCTGAGGAACGGCAGGGAGATGTGACCTGCAGGTAGCATGACAGGAGCAGGCGTGACCCACAGTTGGAGGGGGGGGCAGCAGGTGCGACCCACAAAAAGTTGGGGGGAAAACATGAACTGCAAGGGATGGGGGGGCAAGCTTGACCTATGTGGGGTAGGGAGATAGGTGCAACCCATGGGTAGGGTGAGGTGGGGTTCTTCCGCCCCAGCAAACCTACATCCACCCTTTCCCCACTGGGACTTACTTGCTTGGCTCTAGCAGCGATGAACACTGATAGAAGTGGCTGTACCTGGAGATTCTTGTGGGATGGGGGTTAAGAGGGCTGGCCGGGTGAGGGGTGGAGAGTAAAGGGTCAGTGGGGGGGCAAAAAACAGACTAGTGCAGGGGAGTGAGAAATGAAAAGACCAACCCCAAGGCTGGGGCTGGTGGCTGGGTTTTCCCAGCCCTGGGGCTGAGCAGATGAAGTGGATAGAAGTTCCATGCACCAGTTTGACCTAAATCAAATAAGTCTAATACTATATAGATCCAGGGTTATCTTAAACTGGGTTCTGCAATTTTTAGTTTGTGTGTGTGGAACTTGTGTATACTTAGACTAAGTACAGACATTCAGTAGGTTAGGTCAGGTTCAAAATAGCCACCTGATTTAAACTTAGCTTGTCCCGGTGCCCACCTTACACTTTCTGACCCAGTCTCAGTGACCGGTAATCAGTCTAAACATGTAACAGAGCAGAACTTCCATGTACACAAACTGGTTTAAAAACTGCAGACCCCAGTTTAAGATAAACTTAGATCTATGTAGTATCTATTAGATTAGATATTAGGAAGAACTACTTCACGGTAAGGGTGGCCAGAGCCTGGAATAGGCTTCCCAGAGAGGTGGTGCTCTCACCTTCCCTGGAGATCTTCAAGAGGAGACTGGATAGGCAGCTGGCTGGCGTCTTATGACCCCTGCCACCCCCAGTGCTCCTTCCTGCCCATGGCAGGGGGTCGGACTAGATGATCTGTCTAGGTCCCTTCCCACTCAGTGATTCTATGATTCTATGATCAGATTCATTCATTTAGGTCAAACCAGCACATGGAACTTCTGCACATTTCCCTGGGGCTCAGAAAACCTAGTCATTGGCCCCAGCCTTGGGGCTGCTCTTTTCACTCCCCACTTACCCTACATTGGTCTGTTTTTTTGCCCAGCCAGCACTCTCAACTCCTATCCCAC